CGTCTCTTTAATATTCATCAAGAGTTCATTTGAGCAGATTGTTATTTGTTAACTACAACATAAGAGCTAGTGTGAATGTGAAGATGTTAATGTGAATATCGTCACTGGCTATAGGCATTAGCATGAGCTGGAGGCCGTTATGTGTATTTGTCTCTTTTATACAATATATTTTTAAAGTAAAGAGAAACAAAGTTATGGAAGCCCATTTCCAGTACATATTAAAATTATGACCTTTTTTTACAATTGCGAGTTTACATCTTACAATTTTGAATTTCTTTCCCAGAATTGCAATTTTAAATGTTATTTTATTATATTTATTTAATGCATGCATGCAAGCTTCCAAATAAATCAAAGAAAACCTGAAACTGAAAAAAAAAATAATAATAATACTTTTTCTGAAAGTGACTGATCATCACTGCATACTATGGGAGACTGGTGGTCTTGATGGGGACTTTTTGCTTTAAAACTTGTGTTTTTGTGCTTTCTATCACACATTTTGATATAATTTTCTTAAATGCATCTGCTACAAATTCAGGTTGAATAATGCAGTCATAACATGGTAACATTCACAACGTATTAATGACAAGTTCCTTATCAGATACAATATAGTTTTAGTTGAAAATGTTTTATAAAATAATGATTCATCGGGTCCAAATGGACCCAGAATGCTCAAATACTATACAGATTTGGAATGCATTATGAACAGGGATTGAAAGTAACTTTTTCACTCACCAGCCAATTTGGCTACTAAATTTTTAAGTTACCGGCCATTCATAACTTCTACTAGCCCAAAAAAATAAAAATAAAAAACATAAATAAACCAACAGTTTGAGGCTGTCTACACTGGGCGTGGGCGTGACAAAGCGACCATTGCAAATCATTTTGTGTCAGTACTAGAGGTGTGTTACCCGCCACAGCTGATTTTTACCCGCATTTGGCGGGTTAGCGGTTGTTCATTTCAAACCCTGATTATGAGGGTTAAACTGCAGTTTTCTAAATGACTGTTGAACTGAAAGCGTGGCTTTCTCCGCAGGTTAAAGCTCCAGCACAAGCCCAAGGCTTCCTGAGGTCTGCGTTTCCTCTGAGCTGTCCCAGGATGCTGCTGAGGAGCTGTGGGGCTGCCAGACCCCCTTCCACCGCTCCCTGCAGGAGGACGTCCCATCTGAAGGAGCAGGCACTGCTGTGCGTGAGGTCAGGCAGAGAGAGCGCCGGGTCAGACGGCACCCGCAGCTCTCCTCCGGGAAGCTCCTGTTACTCGTCCCAGCGCAGCAGCCCCGCAGGCCTGTCAGTCAACTGGTACGAGCCGGCGATAACCCCCGAAACCTCCCTATCCCGCCTCCGGCTGGAAGAGGAGGAGCCGGAGACCAATGTGGACACGGGTTGTGCTGTGAAGCCGCAGGCCGCTTTAGGAGCGTCTGCTCTGCTGACTCTGTCTAGAGACCTGACACACGGCCTGGATGAGGCTGACGAGAGCGTGAAGAGTGTCCTAGCAGAGACACAAGTAGATGAGTTCTTCATCTGACTCTTCATTCTTATGCAGTTGGAAAAGCAGGCAGCACACATTTACGTGAACGCATTTGGCAAAGCCGCTCACAGTGCATTCACATTGCATCAATTCAAGGATTCCCTGGGAATCAGACAGCAATACTGTCGCTTTCATACACTCACATTATTAATTACGCAATCTTAATAAATGATCGATTAATATAATTCCATAATTGCATTTTAGGGGTTCAGAATAAAATGAAAATGCCTCTATTTTGCATTTTAATACAGCTTTTTCAATACAAATTCTATGATCAAACTAACAATTTCAGTGAATTAAGGATTTTGTAGCTAATTTCAGAATTACAATTGGTCCCCTTCAGCTTTAAGGGATTATTTCATCCAAAAATGAAAATTAGCTTAACATATACTCTCTATGATCGATTAATATAATTCCATAATTGCATTTTAGGGGTTCAGAATAAAATGAAAATGCCTCTATTTTGCATTTTAATACAGCTTTTTCAATACAAATTCTATGATCAAACTAACAATTTCAGTGAATTAAGGATTTTGTAGCTAATTTCAGAATTACAATTGGTCCCCTTCAGTTTTAAGGGATTATTTCATCCAAAAATGAAAATTTGCTTAACATATAATCTCTCTCTCAGGCCATCCGAGACGTAGATGAGTTTGTTTCTTCATCAGGTTTGGAGAAATGTAGCATTGCATCAGTGTCTCAGCCATGGATGCTCTGCAGTGAATGGGTGCCGTCAGAATGAGACGTACAAATGAACTTTTAGTGACATTGGTATTGTCTGATGATGGCAGTTTAATCACAACGCATTGAGAAATGAATGTTCTGTTCAAACAGGCTGGCTGTGTTCATACTCTTTAAAGTATTTCTCCTGCACACCTGCAGAAATAGTAGAAGTAATGCTAGTACTGTATTCTGAACACACATCTTCTTACAGTGTAGCATGAGCCAAATGATTCATATGTTATACAGTACATTGTAAACAAGCACTGTGCCAAGGCAAATGAGTGTAGTGATGAAACTAATAAACCCTAATTATGCAGATTTATGTTATTCCAGACACAGAGACATCAAAATTGATGTAAAAAAACAGGTCAAATATGCAAATCAGACTGATGTCAAAAACTTGGCATGACGTTGATTTGATGTAAATTGAACATCAAACATATTTCAGCGTGGGATTAACTTCCTATTTTTACTCAATTAACACTGGAACAAATTGCCTTTAAAATTGAATTTGAAACAATGTTACAGCATCTTGATCAAATCTTGACTAATATTTGATGTCAAATTGATATCAAGGCGCCCACTGAGAAAGCACTGTATTTGTCTCAGGACTGTTTATTGTATTTCCACTAAATTATTAGTACTAAAAATTTCAACTCAGCATAATTTCCGAGACTGTCTCAGTATTTTGACAATGTATTTTTATGAAATGTATTAAATACATAGTACTTTGTATGTACAGTTATTACTTGTAAATTAATGTCATATAGGTTGGTAATAAACTAATTTAATAATTATGTAGTAATATGAAGAAGGATGTTTGAAATAAATCAGTCCTCTGTCAATTTGGAGGATTTTGGTAAGGTAGCCTTCATTTAGTTTATTTTGAATGATTCATAAAATGTATCATTCACTTCTTTGATTACCCACAATCCTTTGCACACATTCCAATAAATAGAAGAAGAAAAAAACTGAACGTTAGCACTGAACCAGAGTTAATTGAAATGTAGTTCTGGAGATGAAAACATTCATGTTTTTATTAGTTTTGCATCTTGAAGCCTCAGAAGCAGGGCTGTTTCTGACCAGTTTGACGCTTTTCCCACGGCACCACACAGCTTATGTTGTCATTTAATAAGCATTGAAATAATTCACCAACAGTGACTTTTTTCTGTTCACACTTGCAAAAACCCTCACTTCATATTCACTCCATGTCAGGATAATTATAGTTAACAAACTAAAACAATTTAAAACAAAAATGTTACTTGAAATAAAATAAACATTAATTGAAATCAAATATAAAAAGTTTTATTTCAGCTAGTTGCCAAGGCAGCATTTCACATTTTCATTTAGTTTAACCTGACATACTAAAATAAAGCAAAATGTGTGTGTATATATATATATATATAATAAAATAACACTTTATGTGTTCAGTGACGCATTACTTTTATTTTAATGTCTTTTTAATTAATGCAAGATGCATTAAATGAAAAATAAATGGACAATGCTTACGTCAACAGTAATATGCTTTATTAAACCATAAATTAGCCCAAGTATAATTCCAAGAATATATTATTTTTTTTGTTTACATAATTTTTTTTAGATAACATTCTAAATAAATTAACCAAAACAAAAATATCACATAATAATTTTCATTAAAAAATATGAATATAGTAAACCTTGCTCTACAGTTCTGTGCAAACAAAGGCTTTAATGGCATGCCCAGTATGTTTGTAACTTTCCTAGCATTAGACTCAATTTAGAGGATATAATACAGCTAAGATGGCGACTGATGCATTTGATTGGGATAATATTTCATATGAGATAGATGTTGGTATTGGTAATCAACCCAACACTTTTTTCTAAATATATCATTTCAATTGGCTAGACTAAATATTTGGACTTCTGATCGCTGTCTTCCTGGTAACCTGCTTAAATGTACTTAACACTGTGAATTTTTGCAAAAATGCAATGTCGTGATGTTACCTGTTAACCTGGGTGCTGATGCACTCCGCATAAAACATCTCACATTAAACATCATTACATATGCTATGGAAGCCCGTTTCCGCCACTGAATAAAAAAAAAAAAAAGAAGGTTATTGACTTTTTTCTCAGAATTGCGTGATATAAACTCATAATTGCGAGTTAAAAAGTCATATTGTGAGATATAAACTCACAATTGCGAGTTATAAAGTCATATTGCGTGATATAAACTCATAATTGCGAGTTAAAAAGTCATATTGCGTGATATAAACTCACAATCGCAATTCTGACTTTTTTTCTCACAATTTTGACTTTTTCTCAGAATGAGAATTTATATCTCAAAATTATGACTTTTTAAATCGCAATTGCGAGTTAAAAAGTCGCAGTTACCTTTTTTATTTTTTATTCAGTGGCGGAAACGGACTTCCATACATTTGTAGACGTAAGCAAGATATTTCTGTCGTTTGTCTCCCTCTGCTGGTCAGAGCAGCTCATTATCCCGTAGTGATGGATTTGTGTGGCAGCCGATCCACGGCAGTTTCTCTGCCCACTGTCCAGTCGCAGTGATCCGCACCTTTCCAGGATCAAACCTCCAGTGCTGCTGCTCTTTGAAGAAATACAGCTTTCCGTCCGGTCGAGTCAAGGCCCCGTTGAGTCCGCGTGGAAGCCCCTTCCAGTCCCGCAGGGCACGAGGATAGTACGGCTCCACGCTGAGAGACTCCGGGTTCAGGACGTAGTATCGGGATCCTCTGAAGAGCACCATGCGTCCCAGCGGCTGGTAGAAGAAGGCACAGTCAGGGTGATTCGGCAAACCCAGGTCACTGCTCTTCATGGGGAATCCAGGGTCCAGATCAGAGCCCGAGTAACGCCAGATCTGCCGTCCTGCCAGGAGAAAGCAGCATGGAGATGAGTGGAGTACATGCAGCTTAACCCTCTGCTGGTTGGTCATTTTCACATTTCACTTTTCATTTTTTTTGCTTTATCGGAATCATACAAAACTTGCTTTGTGAACAACAACAAAAAAATCCTGGCCATGATTCACAAAGGTTAAATAGTCTTGAAAAAAAACAGTCAAAATGACTGCACTGGAAACTAATGGTTAGCAGTTTTAGAGTAAAACACGTTTTGGAAAATATATATTTCATATAACATTTAAAATTAGTATTTGTGTGCATTTTTCATAATAATAAACTTCTATAACTTTTTGGGGCTTTACTTCATTAAATTTTTTTTCAATCCAGCATAACTTGCCAAGAGATAGACATAAGTCTGTGCTCCAAGGCATTAAAGATCGATGACGGTTTAAGTTGGAAATGTCATTTTCAGGTCTATGCTCAAAAAGTGCTAAAAATGGATCATAACTATTCCATAAATATAATTTAGTACCATAAAATCCCCCCAAAATACAAAATATTGAATAAAAACATTATCAAACTATTTGTTTGTTTTTGACTGGTTTACCTAAAAACTATGAAATTCTGTCATCCTTCACTCACACTCAGGTTTTATTAATTAATTAATAAATAGCATATTACACAACTGTTGCAAGTATGTTCAACTTTACCCAAATACATGCTGTGCACTCAGGCATTTGTTACATACTATACAGCAAATTCAACTAGATTTTTTATATCATTGCAAAATGTAAATTATATTATCGCCCTGCGATATATTAAAAGTTGGATTTAGAGTACATCCAACTTTACTGGCACATATACAGTACACTCACATTATATACTTTATAGCAAATCTCAGCTGTGTGATTTTTTTATATCATCACGAGATGTAAACTATATTGTTGCACAGCTCTATGTATGTCCAAACTTTATGCACACACACATACAGTACACTCACACAGGGCAAGTATAAGACCATTTTACAAACCCATTTGGCCAATTCACTGAAAAGAAAGAACTTTTTCCGTGAACAAAATTTGGACCTGTTCCGCACACAAAAGTGTATGGATTACTTTTATGGTACTTGTTCAAATCTATTTTGAAGCTTAACAGCAGCTGGGGCTCATGGGTCTGTCTCTACATTAACAACATGATTAAAAATCTAAGAGAAACGATGAAAATGCCTGATTTGACTGTTTACCCTCATCTCATCAGCTCTTCATATATAAAGCTGATGTATCTCATCCACAATGACCACTTCTTTAAATTCTAAAAACTCTTGGTAACACTTTATTTTAGGCTCTCTTAACTAGTTGCTTATTAGCATGCATATTACTAGAATATTAGCCATTTATTAGTAGTAATTAAGCACATATTAATCCCTTATTCTACATGACCTTATTCTACATCCCTACACTGTAAAAAATGACCGTGAATTTAACGGTAAAAGTAAAAATGTAATGTAAAATGTAAAAATGCTACAGTAAAAGCCTGTTAAATGGTTAACGGTAAATTTCCCTACTATATACGGTGAAAAAACCTAACTAATT